CAGTGTTTTGGGATACAGTCAGTTGTGCTAACAGTAGTGTTAGTAGCAGGTCAGATGTGTAAAATAAATTCCTAAATACTTTCTCAACCAGAGCCCATCAAAAAGCAAAAAAGTGACCTCAGGTTCATGCTGTTGCTCTACCTACTAGCATAGCTTTCTGGGCTTTTCTTGACCTAAACACCTTAAGTTCAGAAAAAGTTTCAGACTCCCTGCTTGCAAAATCTACATATTTCTCCAGCCAAATTAATTTTTCTTTCTCTCTTTCATGGATTCACTATGAAATATGAAAAAAAAAGTGAGATCCATAAAAAGAAATCAGTAATTTCATAGCTGGTTAAGGCAATACTCAAAGAATATTAAAACAGAATACAGAGGCTAAAAGGAATATTTAACATACCAGATTATAAAAATAAAACCCAAATGAGATCTTAAAAGACTAAAACAACAAGATAAAATAAAAATTGATAAAAGCCACTGTTAGCTGAGATTTCTGGCTATAAATCAACTCTACAAATATAAAGCAGAGAAGGAGCTCTAACTTGACAGCTAAAAGTTTGAGGGGCAAAAAAAGTCTGCACATTTCATTTGACCACTGGGACTCCTGTCAACATTCTAGCATTGCTACTAAAAGATGAACAAAAAACTTTGGGCCTTAATAAAGGCACAGTATGCTTATCCGAAGATGTGCCATCATTATACACTGAGTAAGAACATAAATTTTAAAAAGGAATGAACAAGTGACAGAAGTATGTAGAGCAGAGAATATTAAATAACTAAAGCCAAATATTTATAGGGATGTCATATTGAAGTAAAAGATAAAAATCATCCTAGAGGAGAAAGTTGAAAGTGTATTAACTACTTAGCACAGTATTGAAAAGAACTTCCTAATATTGAGTGCAATCAAACAAAGGAGCAAGTTGTTCCATAAACTAGGTAAGCTCCCTGAGCACTGGAAGCATTTACAGAGATTACTATCAAGAATGTTGTAAAATCAATTCCTGCACTGGAAAGGAAATACATAAGATATTTCCGAGGCCCTCCTACCAAAAGTTTCTGTGACTTCCTACCTACCTATAATGATTAATTTATGATAACAAATTAAACCTTACAATGCCAAAAATTATTTTTTCTTTTACCTATTCATTTATGAAAAGCAGCTCTCAGTGTCAATAATCCTTTTGCTACAAGTTTTGACAAAATTAGTTTTAACCATTCATTTGGATTATGTCTTGAATGAAGTCAAGAATTACAGAGCATGTCTACACAATAACTTACTTTATCAAGTGATTATTTCTCAATTATAATAAGAGTACACAGGAAAAAGACTAGCAATAAACAAGCAAAATTAACAAACAATAGTGTTCTCTGGATAGTACCACTAAAGGTATATTTTCCACAATGAACATTTACACTTTTACAGTTTCATAAGAAGCAAAGCTTCAAATTATTTCAGTTGCATTAAAATCTAAGTAAATCAAAGTCACAGAGATTAATGACCTGGAAAATAGACATAATAAATGGACACTTTATGGCAATGGCCACAGTAAATATAATCTTCCCTCGAAAAGTTATCCCTATCTAAAAGATCCTATTTTTCTCCAAAAAATAGTCACAAGCATAAATAGAGAAAATTTTCATTTGAACTTAATTGTCTGATGGTTTTAAGTAAACCTAAGCTCAAAAACGTGGAATATAAATTTTAAAACTTCATAACAATAAAATGTGCTCATATTTTCTTTTTGTTTTCATAAAGCACAAATAACATTTTCTACTTTTCTTTCATATGGGTTTATACCAAAAAAGAATAAGAAGTTGTAGTATGAAGAATGCCATGTGAATGCTCTGCTCAGTATATAATGTTCTGTTTACTCTAGGACAGCAGGGACAAATAGCTACACAACTTATAAGAATAAAAATTAGTAGACCACAATAAGTGCACACAAATAGAAATCTTGCTGCTTTACAGTTTCAAATCTATCTCTTCATTTTTAAAAGGAAATGGTAGGATTAGACTATTTTCAGGGCCCCTTCCCATCCTAACTTATGACATTTTTAAAAACTGTTCTAATTCCCTCTCTATAGGAGTAGGGTCACTGTACTCTTCTCATCCTTTTTATATCATGAAAAAGGTTTGTTCAGTAATCCCATGAGCCTGTGGGGTATGAGTGTGGGAACTCCAATTTTTAAGCCCTATCCAGCTCTTCATTTCAAATGTTATAAGCACTAAAGGCAAATATAGCACTTGTGCCTATAGTTGCAAAGAAAAGCATAAGGCTTTATAAAAGTCTGAATAACATTTAGGAAGTTCATCCCTTATTAAATCATTGCTTGCATTTTCAACCATTTTAATATATATATAAAACTGCTTTGAAAAGAACAAAAAGTAGAGCACAAATTTAAAATATTGTCATTAGTTTTTAGGTGAATGAGTGGAAATTCTTATATTTTCTCTCTAAATAAACCATTCTAAAACTCAACTAACTTGTTTCTTATAATACCTAGCCCCAGATTTTTTTTCCATTGGGTCACTGGTCCTAATAAAATGTTTCCCATTAAGAAATAAAAATAAAATAAAATAGGATAATAGATTCCAAGAAGAGACTAGCAGAAAACTTAATTTTACTATTTTATTATTAATTCAAAGTATATTTTATTCCTAAGGCTATAATGAATGCTATTAAATTTTTAGTATATTCCCTTTTGCTTTAAAAGGTAAAAGTCAACTTTTAAAAATATCTTATAATTTTAAATATAAGCTTTCATTCTCTTGACATGCAATAGTAACAACTATTATACTTAAGGAAACTTAATTTTAATTCAAATCCTTAATGGTCATTTCTGGCTACAGTGGTATTTGATTATCATGTTACAGTTTTCCAACAGAGAACTACTACTGAAATAGATACAAAAATCTATAATCAACTGTTGATATGTTATCTACCTATAATCACTAGTCATTATCAGATATCAAAGAACCCAGGGAAAAGAATGGCAAATGTCACATTCTGGTAGTAGAAGTCTGAAAATAGATTTATAAATTATTTGATGCTCCTCCCCCATCAAGAAATACAATCTACATCTCCTCCCATTTAATCTGCACAGACCTTAGCAACTAACTACAAATAAATAAGACACAGTGGAAGTGATACTTTGCAACTTCCAAGGCTAGCTTAGAGAAGAAAGCTCTAAAGCTTCTACTTTTGGGCTGCTCCTCCTGAAAAAAGCCATATACTTTGCAGAAAATCCAACAACTTGAAAGCTACCATGCTGAAGAGGCTAGTGACTCTGGTCACTAGCCCTGTGGACAGTTAGCATCAATTGCCAGATCTGTAAGTAAGCCAACTTAAATCTCCAGCTCAGCTGAGTCTTCAGATGGCTGCAGTTGCAGCCAACAACTAACTAGAAATCACATGAGATAAACCAAGTGAGAACTGCCAGCAGCCCTGCCCAAATTCCAGAGTCATAAAGTTTATGAGCATTAAAAAGGGTAATAAGTCACACCATTTAGAACGAATTTGCTGCACAGCATTAGTAATAAGCATTAGCTTATCCACTTTACAAAAGCCAACAGACAGGATAACCTGGAGTCCATTTCCCACCCTACCACTAGCCAGATGGAATTCACTCGCCTGAGTGAACCAGTTCATTCTATGAATGCAGCTTGCTCACCTACAGATAAAGACAAAATGTCTCTTTTAGCTCTTATAATTTTTAAAATATTCAAACAGCCTCCTCTTAATTCTCATTAGTTTTTATAATATTACATGACTTTTCTAACTCAAGATTTGAGAATGTGTTCAGAACCAAAAAGCAAAAACTTTGTAATATATAGATGAATAAATATAAATATGCTATTATATATAAATTATTAATACAATCTGAAAATAGAAATTCCTAACTTCATTTTTTTTTAAGATTTATTTATTTATGCATACAAGAACTGGGGTACAGGCAGGGAGGTGGGGAGAGAATTCACCAGAGACAGGTGGGGAGCAGAACAGACAGATCCACTGAAATACACTGCTGAGGGGAGCAGCAGGCAAGACAGGAGAGGTCTGCTACACCATGTGGGTAGCTCCCTGGCCAGTTGGGGATCGAACTCATGCTGCAGAGGCTGCGGATAGCTTCCTAGTGCTGTGCTTAACCCCTTGAGCCACCAGGGAGGCCCGAATTTCCTAACTTTATATCACTAAAAGTCTTCTATGATTGGCTCTGGTAATGGTCTTACCTTTATAATTTTCCATACACTCACTTTAAATATGTATGTGACTTATAATCAGAAAGAAATACAATATATAAAATTTAAAATTTGCATGTTTAATTCCACATCTTAGAGAACTATTTGCACATCTGAACAAAAAGAAATGTAGCATTGCATCTTAAAATAAAAAACTGGAAATGAAGGAATTATTGGATAAACTATATTCATATTACAAAATAGCATATGGAAAGAATACTGACAAAGATGGATTTGCACAACACATTATGGTGTAAATGGAGTAAAAAAGGACACAAAATAGTGTTACATTTTTTAATTACTCATATATACACACTACATTTCAAAAAAATAGAAAAGGGTCTGTGGAGAACATCCAAACTATTAACTATAATTACTCAGAGTATTTAGGTATTAGGAAAGGGAGAGGGGAATTTTTATTTTATCTGAATTGTCTCCAAAACAACTATAGTGTATTCATGCTTACTTAGATGATCTTCTAATTAAATTTTTAAACATAAATTTTATTAGTTTCAAACCATGCTTTATTAAACTATTTACTCTGGAAAGATGAGTAAAAATCCTTGCTACACATAAAGCACTAGGATAGATAGCATTCATCAAGAGCATAATATGTGTGTGGCTCATGATAGTACTTTATATATGCTATTTCAATTAATCCTAACATTAGAATTGTCACCATTTTTTAAATAAAGAAATTGATGTTCAGAAGCTAAATAACTGCAAAAAGCACAGCAATATTATGAGAGAAGATTCAAATTCAGGACAAATATTTTCATTGCTTTGATTGTGTAATAACCAGGGCAAGCTGAACATTCATTATAGTTAAGACCATATATGTGTCCCCAGGCCTATTTCTTACCCTAGGTCTGGTTTTATAAATGCTAAACCAAGTCTGATTTATATGATACATTTCGTGTGGAAAATGTCTGAAACTACAGATATCTTTGATCAACCTCAAGAAATGATAGTATAATAACTCAATGATAACCACTGCTAATTTGATGGCTGCAACCTGGCATTAAATGAATTGTAATATTACCGTGTTTTATTTTCTAGGTGACTCTGATATCACTAGAAGCATAACAGAACAGACTGGTGAAAAGTAAATCATGCAAAATTTTCTTTAAAAAAAAAACAAGATTCAAACTCAGGTTTGCCTAACTAAAACTCAAGTTTTTCTTAAAGAAATAAAATCGACATACCTTCAATCTACTTACAGTTAAACAACTCTACTTCAAATTCTTAAGTTTTCAAATAATCAACTGACCCCATTTCTATACCAATTAGAAAACATGATAAACTACAAAAGTACTTGTAAATACTTTAAAAACTTTATTAATAAAATATGATTTAAAGATCAGAGTCTAATCAACTCTGAAATATATCATTTAAATATCTCAGCTACTATCACAAAAATAGTGCATTATGAGGATAGGTGCTAAATTGAAGTATTCCGAAGTTGTCCATCAAAAGCATTTTACTATGATATTCACATTGAGACATAATCATAATTAAGAAACAAATGGTTATCATACTAATTGCTGAAACAAAGAATCCAAGAAGACTGAACAGAAGAGACAACCTAAGAAGAACAGATTAGAAACAATGGTAATGAAAAAAGAAAGACCATTTTTCAAATCCTCTGATATTTCCCTAGGCATTACTTCAAGAAGAGATTCAAAAGACCCCTTTATCTACCCATCTGCACAAAAAAGAAAAGCTCCTTCTAGTCTCCTACTATAAAATATGGTGGTGTTATCACAACACAATGTACAATACAATGAAGTCTCCATTGGAATCTTAACAGCTAATCTGAAGACCTATCTATGGTCAAATTAAAAATGATTGTTATTTTTTTCCCTAGAAAATACCTATCGAAAATTATAAGAAAATGTTCTGTAGGATCATTAAACCATTTCATCATGGAATAGTTTTCTATAGTTTCTATTGGAAATAGATCCAATACTTTTTCCTGGCTGGCTGTCTAGCCAAGAAAGTGCCCATATACTCATTCATAGTCAACACCTAGCATTTTTCGCAAAAGGCCACTCAGCCTCCCCACAAAAAGTACTTTTTTTAAAAAAAGAAAAAGGTCCTTAAAGAAAGCACAACAGGACCTCCCTGGAAACAAGCACTGCCACACTATGAAGCAATCCACAGCCTCTGCAACACGAGTTCTATCGCCGGCCGGCTAGCGCAGAAACCCACATGGCGCAGCAGACCTCTCCTGTCTCACCCGCTGCTCCCCTTAGCAGTGTATTTCAGTCAGTCTGCCTGTTCTGTTCCTCACTGTCTCTGGTGAATCCTCTCACACTCCACACTTCTGGCCTGTACCCCAGTTCTTGTATGCAGAAATAAATAAATCGTAAAAAAAAAAAAAAAAAAAAAAAAAAGCACAACAAATGATTTAAGATTACATGTCTATTATCTATCTTCTTTAACATCAAAAGAATTAGCATTCTTACAAGTCATTTTCCTCCCCTAGTTTCAAAATGGAATTATTAGCTCTATTTGAAATAATGTTTATATGCTTTTGAAAGTCTATTTTAAAAATGAGCAACCTTTCCCAATGTCATCACAACAACATTGTTCTTAGAAGTAACTAAATATAGCAAAAAAATGTTAGGTATAACTTAATTATGAGATTAGAAAAGCAGTTACATTTCATATTCTTTTAACAAACTCTTGCAGACTTAGCTAAATTTTTAAAAATAATTTCACTAAATTATGATGACAATTTGAGTAAACTTGTGGAAATCTTCCTAGGATAAACCTCTCCTATTTCCACTTCTAAACTGTGGAAAGGGAAATCAATCATAAACAAGTACAAATTCTAGTTGCCATATTTGTTCTGTTATCAAATAACTGTGATCTTAGCTAAATTATTCCACTCTGGGCTACAGTATCATTGTCTATAAAAAGACCAATTTAAGCAAGGTAATATTCAAGAATCTGCATAGTTCTAAAAGCTTTTAAATTCTATTGCTTAAAAGTTTTATATTTTAAACCTCACCTCATCTGAAGAATCTAGTTGTCCCAATGTTCCTGCTGCACCTGCAAAACCTTTGGAAAGGAAAAATAAAGTTGCCGTTTATAGTTGTTATATGTTACTTTATTTTAAAATTATTTTGAGACATAAGGAAAAGCTAAGTTTTGTTATATTGACCCCTCATCGTAACATTTATTTTGGCAGAGTTCAACACTTATCTTCAATATATTTGGGCCTAATATGTTTATACATCAATAGGAAATTTCCAGTAAAAACCAAGATTTTAATAACCACAAGTGATCTTTCAGAAAGATCTTTCTTTTTAGCTTTAAGCATGGTTTGCTAAAAAATTGAGCTACTAAAGTGTGTGCTATTCTTAAATGATAACTAATACATTTTTTTCATGAGTTAAAACTAGAGCCTTATTAAACTAATCAAATTTGATTTAGGAAAAATGCATTCTTTGCTTCTAAATTTTACAACTTCTTCCACTTTTCTTTAATGACATATTAAATTTCTTCAACAGCGAATAAAGTTTGAGTGTTATTTTGATACAGAGAAGTAACCACTGTCCAAATAAAAACTCAGACACACCTTGAACTGCCAGAGTGCTAGTACCAGCAGATGGCTCCTGTATACCATATACAAGCTTATCCTCAGGATATGTAAGTCCAGAGCTCTTCAAAGCTATAAGGTACTTCTCCTGACTTTTCTTTGCACAGGCATTTTCTCCAAGACCTAATAATTAAAAGTTTTTTATTACCACATTTAAAGAATTAAAAGTGTGATTCTACAGAACTATCAGTTAAAATATTTATTCCAAAAATATTGAAAGTTTAGGTTCTAAAATCATACATTCTTAGAACTTTCACTTTCAGCATTTCAGAAAGCTTATTATTGCCAACTTTTGTTTTATTTTTTAGTATATTATTGAGTATGGGGTATCAATAAAAAGTAAACATTAATATATATTTCAAGAGTTTTTAAAAGAAAAAAATATTCTCTATGTGAAAACCAAATTACCCTGGCATATACCACCCTCTAAGGAAAATTACATGCTTTAATTAAGATTTTAGTATGTGGGGCCTCCCGGTGACACAGAGGTTGAGCGCTGGGCTGCGAGGTTGCCTGAAGCCTCTGCAGCGCCGGTTCGATCCCCAGCCAACGGCAAGGTCCCACATGCCGCGACACACCTCTCCTGCTGCGCCCACTGCTCCCCTCAGCAGTGTACTTCATCAGTCTGCCTGTTCTGTTCCCCTCTCTGGCTCTGGTGAATTCTCTCACCCTCCCACACTTCTGACTGTACCCAGTGCTTGTATACATAAAAAAAAAAATCTTAGTATGTGATTATAAAAATATATAAATGAATTTCTTCAGTATTTGCTGAGGTTTTTTTCTTTGCTAACCACAATAATTTCAATAGAACAGTTTAGTTTTGTTTTATAAACCTCTAATTTCTGTGTAGGTTAATTTGAAGGGAAAAAAAAAAAGAAAGAAAAACCAACTCCAACACAGATATATAGGAATGTATTCATCCTTAGATTCAAGAAATCTGATATTTCAAACCACCACAATTAGTTTATAAAGAATAAAGAACCCCCAGAGTACTAATTAAGAAATGACTAAAATTCTCCTGAATAATAAAAGCCATGTATTTATCTCACTAGTGACCAATGAAATTTTTGTAATGCCTTTAAATTAACAAAATTGGCCCCCTCACAATAAACCTGAGAAAAATTAATGTATACTCACCACTTTTATAATAAGAAACTGAGGCTTAGAAAGATTACATGGCTAGCCAATGAGAAGGCAAGCAGTGATTACAACTGAAATGAGATTACAAATTTTAAGCTTTTTAATCAAAACCTAATGTTAAAATTTTAAAGTTAAAAACTGATTCCTTTTTTGTTAACTTCAAGAAGAACTTAAAGAATTGTAGAAATAATAGAAGGCAATTACCACAAATAATTCTTAAGGCACACATTCTCTCAATGATTATCATCACCCTGCTTTTCTCCTTCCCAACAATTGACAGTTTCTGAATAAAAAGCCATTTTTGAGGTTGAAGAAATAACAGATCTCTAGAAATAATTTTTATCTCTCTCCAGTTTCATCACCAAATTCGAATACAAGCTACCATCATCTTTATTCCAGGTTGCTGTACTTGAGCTTCTGTTTTTGCCCCTTTGATCTATTCTTGGCAAAATAGCAAGTCATCTCTTTAAAACACTTATCTGATCATGTCACTCTTAAGCTAAAAATATTTCCATGACTTTCTACTACATTCAGATATAAAATCTAAGATGGTCCAAAGGGCCTACCTAAGCAGGATCTAGCCTAACGTGGCAGCCTTATTTATGCCACTATTCCTTCTACATTCATTTCATTTCAGTCAGACTAGTCTTTTTCAGATCCTTTAAAAAAGTTCATTCTTACCCATAAATATTCTTACATATTGGTCCCTCTGCATGGAATCTAGAAGGTGCCTGGTTGTGCTAATCTTTATATTTATCCTGTTTGAAATTAAGTATCTTAGAGATATAATTCATGGTTTTCATCCAACTTGAGGAATTTTAGTCATGATTTTTTCAAGTATTTTTTCTACCCTATTCCTACTCTTCTATCCTCCTGAGGTTCTTCTGCATGCATGTTATATCATTTCAATCTGTCTAATATGTCTCTGAAGCTTTATTGTGTTTTCTAGATTGAATAAGCTATCGATCTCTCTTCAAATTCACAGACCTACTGTCTCCAATCTAATAATAAACTTACCCAGTGAATTTTTCAATTTTACCATACCACTCTACAATAATTTTCAGTTCAAGAATTAATTAGGAATACAATATAAATGTGCAAATACATTCAAACATTATGACTATGTCACAATTAAAGATAGGAAAC